CTCCCTGCGAAGACGGCAGAAGTCAGAGCCTGCCGCAGCGGGCTGACCCTAGCTCAACGAGCACGCACTGCTGCGGGCACAGCTGCTCCCTGCCTCGCCGCGCACATAAAGCAAGGTCAGAAGGAAGGGCAGATGGTTGCAGGGTGTGCTGGGGGCAGGACCAAAACACCAGCAAGCTGACAGCGCAGAGCTGGAGCAAGGCTTCACCAACCGCAGCGGGGCTCATTCCCACACAAAGCCGTTACGGAGATCAACTTGCTCATTACACCAGCAAGCACCTCTGCAGCTTTCTGAAGAAGATGAAACTTTTTCCCGCCCCACACCCATCTGCTTCTTGCTTCGGGAAGCTCTTCCAGGCGCAGCACAGCCCAGAATCCTGACAAGAACAGAATGCTGACAAGAACACAGCAGGAAATCTACAGCTGGTAACAAATGCTGACCTGACAGATGCATTCTGGACAAGGCCAGCACAGGCAGGCTAAGTCCAGGCTTTGGTCCACGTTCACCCACTTCTCTGAGCTGCACGCACCTCAGAAGGCAGAGAGCTCTGCCTCCGCGTTTGCCCACGCCTCTGTTCACGATCACAAGTCTCACCGAGGAGACATCTCTTTAGGCAGAGGGAGAGGACCACCAGCTCTTCCTTGGCCAGATCTGATCCAGACTGTCCACAGACATCTGAAGCTGAGAGCACAATCTACCGTCTCCCAGCAAGAGCAACACCCTGTGGCTGAGCCCACGGAAGGTCGATGGTATCCTGATGGAGGTTAAGCCCTCCAGCTCAGGAGATCCGCCAATGAAAAACCTCCTCAGCTCAGCGACCGTCCCAAGCTCCACATGGCGCCAGGTAGGGATGGTCAGCATGTGGAGACCTGGCTCAGGACAACAGGACAGCTTAGCAGCTAGGAGCAGCAACGTGTTCACAGACCCAGAGGACAGCACGGCAGGCACATAGCTGCTGACACAAACCACAGCAAGCTGGAAATGGAAACACTGCACGGTATCTCTGCAGCGTTTCCCCGAGGCGTCTGTCCCACACAGGCACACGGTCAGCGGTGAAAGCACCCCCTGCCCACAAGGAGCATCTCCCTACTACACGTGGGTGTCAGAACAGCTGCAACCCTCATGTGGGACAGCGAGGGCTACCGCTACTGTGAAGATGGATATGCAGCATCAGCCCAGAACTTGGTCCCCCAAGATTTTGTGACAGAACCACCGAAGGAGCAAGGAGAGCAACACAAGATGCATCTCAACAAGCAGGCAGAACGGTGCAGGATGCGTCAAACCCTTCTTTACTGCCCCACAGACAGCTAACGACCCCCTTCAGCATGCAAAGGCGAAGCCTCCCCAGGACCCGCTGATTCCATGCCCAGGAGAACCACTCGGCTCGTTCTCCCAAACAGTCAACATCATGCCCCAAGTACGTTTTACCTGGAGATGCTGGCAGCACCAAAGAACCATATCCTTCCACGCGATACCTCTGCCAGAAATCCAGGGACAGGACCTCAAAGTAGAGAACAGGCCACTGAGGGAGAGTGTCTGCAAGGAAGGGAAGCAGACCACAGCTCTGTGAGGGAGATTACCACAGAGAAAAAAAAAAGCTAAATTCCCAGCTCCAGCTCCACTAGCAGGCAGTCCTTTCTCTATTTCTTCTACAATGAATAACCTAGATGTACAGGTGATCGTTTTCCCCTGAAAAAGCTGAACCCTCAGACTGGAGGATGAAAACAGAATTATTGATGTTTAAAATTTGGGAAAATTCTTGTGTTTTGACAGCAAGTCCAAACAGGTTCCTCAATTATCTTTGAGCAGACAAGATGATCTTTTGCGAGTGATCTAATTCCAAACAGGAACCTTTCTACCTCTCACCTTTCCCACCATTACTGGTGGGGTTACTAACTTGGGTTCTCCTACAGGTCTCCAAGCATTTCTGTTTGCCACGCTGAAACAAACTCATCGTGTTTATTCGAGGCTGAACATTCATTAGTGTTGGCTGAATACTCAGCTCCATTGTGTACACGGGATTCAAGTGGCAAGGCACACCACAAAGCTGCCCCTAGCAACTGCGATCCACAGAGCAATGGGCTTGGGGAGGCCGCAGCAGCAGCGCAGGGAAGCAGCAGCAACAGGCAGCAGACAAGCCCAGCGTAAAACAGAGCTGGAAGTTTCAAAGTGACACAAACTATACAAAGATTATACAGGTCACTGATTGCGTCTACAAATGTAGGACCCAGCACAGAGTGTTAGCTGTGTACCAAAAAGCTGCCTGCTGCTTCTGCTGCAGAGCCCCACGGCTCCGTGCAGCACGCCAGGCACGGCCACACAGCCCAGCATGCCAGGCACTCTGAGGCAGACAAGCTGAGATCCAAGGAGTTCTGCAAGTGGACAAAGCTGAGGACAACCTGGAAGCAGGGGAACTCCACGAATCCGTACAAATGCTCATGCACTGCTGGGCACAGCTAATACAGTGTCCAGAGGTTGTGTGGTGACAGGGTGAACGTTTGCCAAACGAGCAACCTTTCCCTTTGTTTAAATGCGTCCTTTCATCTTGGTGAGGGGCCAACAACGCGCCAGGCAGCACGATGCCCACACCGCCACCAAGAGATATCACAGTTTCACATGTCAGAGCAACAAGGCAACGCACCTTCCGATTCGTCTCCTTGGGTGAAAAACATCTCCAACGTGAAGGGGTAGCAGAAGTACGCCACGTTATCCTAGAAAAGGAACAGGACAGAGATCAGACTCCCAGACAAGAGAATTCATAGCTGGCATTGCAGGGGACACGGAGAGCAGGGAGAAAAGAACTGATGGTGGGAAAGAGGCAATGATGCCCAAACAAGATCAATCACATCACACTGACAAACACCTGACTGCACAACGGACCTGTGTGCACTCCCAAGTGCCACGCTGGTGGAAGGGGCTGTTAAAAATAACAAAGAAGGGGCAAGAGTAACACACATCCAACGACAACCCAGCCACTTGTGCAACTACTGCACCGCCACGATCTTTACAGGGGTCAAGTGAAGTATCTCAAATAATGGTATTAGAGGCACTTTGTACGATCATTATTTTTGTAATATGCAAACTAGCTCATATAAAAGACATCCAAAAGTTGATAAAATTCAAATTTTGTAAGAGAGGAACTGGAAAGGAGACAGCAACGGCACCAGCTTCCCAGATGGGAGGAGGGGTTTTTCTTGAGAAATCAATTTAGAGACTGTGTGCACTCGTGCCCCAGGCAACCCAGAACAATGCTTCGTTAACGCTGAGCATTTGAGAACACAAAATTCCAAGCTCCAAAGGCAATCAACCAGTCAGAAGGAAGAAAAAAGTGAGGTTCCAGAAACGGCTTTGAAGCAGTTTTATGTGGTCCAGTTTTATTTGGACACAGTGGCACCCTGAAAAATGGCAACTATGAGTAGAATGAGGAGAATCCGGAACACACTCTGTCCCTGAAAGCAGCTCTCAAGTCGGGACCTCTGCTGAAAGCATCTGTAGCTTGTTACACGTGCTCCACTCCACAGCACACCTGTCCACACTGCTCCCCAGGTCTGAGCGCCTCCTTACCCAGCCCACTGCCTTGGTGGCACAGGTCTGCATCACTCCCGACAGCTGCTGGAACGCGGGGCTCGACCACTCTGGGAGGAGAAGAGAAGGTGAGCACAGAGGCGAATGCTTCTTGGAGGGAGAAGAGAAGGTGAGCACAGAGTCGAAGGCTTCAGGTGAGAGCGAGGACTCACAGAGCAGAGCAGGTCAAAGGAGGATGTCGGTCCCAGATGACTGGGATAACAGATAACATCACCCACGCTGAATTTCCCTAGGTGTGTCCCACCCCATCTTCTTCCAGGCAATGGCTGCTCCCCAGAACACCCTGAACTGTCAACGAAAAGCACCAACTCCATCCTAAGAGAAAAGTAGAACCTTATCTAATTGCACTGAGTAGCAAAAGTTGGACAAACATCAGGTATAACCAGAGAGGGAACCCAGAGCCTTCAGGTGAACTAAACACACAGCAGGATGTGCACATCAGTGCTGGGAATCTTATTTATCAGCCAAAATTTCAGACGTTAGTGTCAGCACAAAACACGAGAAATTGATGGTGAGCACTGAAATCAGAGAAGGTCACTGCTGAGAAGGAGCAGACAGGAAGGCTCTTCTCTGCAGCAGAAGGAATGAACTTTGGGTAGGCTGCTGGACACCACCAGCACAGGCTGAGAAGCCAGTGGACCTCTATGTCCCAGCCAGAGTTGGAAGAGATGAGAAGGGAAGATGCTACTTTCTCCCAGACATGAGTTTAGTTTAGCTCTGAGCACCTCTGACTAGATTCCAGTCCCGACATTAACTTTTACGGCCTTTCAGCAGAGCTGATCTGATGGACCAGCCAAAGCACGCTTCATTTCTCAAACTGCTGTGATACAGCTGGAAAGGTGAATACTTACGGTTAGGCAGCTCCACGAAGAAATGAATGTAGGGGTTGTCATACTCATAGCCTGCAGCTGAAACTGAGAAAAGAGAAAACTCCTCCAGTAACCCCTGTAGACTTTTGGGACAGCCAGCACCAATAACCTCAGGGACAACCAGTTACTGCTGGAAGCTGGCAAAAGCCAGGATCTTCACAATATGACCCTCAAAGACTCCTCCTCTAGACTAGCCCTGTCCCCATATTACGAACCAGACTAGGGAGGTCACACACCTAATTGCTTTCTTTGCAATAATCTCTACTAAGTTCCCAACCTGCTCTCCTCTCTTCAGACCTGCCTGTCTTCCTAGAAGAGCTGCAGTACTTGTAACCTCCAACCTGTAAACGCCACTCAAGGGGTTAGTCCGTAAAAAGAGAGGAGGAGAAGGAGGAAGGAAAGGATTCTAGGGAGAAAATCACCTTCCCTGGATCGGCCTGTGGCCCAGGAATCCTCGGACCCTTCACAGCCTCAGCCACCCCAGCGGACCCAGATTTTCCCCTATGATTTGATACCTGTAAATGTAAAATTTCCACTTACCAGAGTGATTGTAATTAAACTAAACTAGATCCTTGCTGTTTTGAGAAGACAGGAAAGCTTTAACATAAAGAGGCTCCTCAATAACACTACTTAGACAAACTTGACTTGCTGTTTTGGGAAGGCAGGAAAGCTCTAAGATAAAGAGGCTCCTCAATAATTCTACCCCAGACAGCTCAGCCTTGGGAGGGCAGATGTACCAAGCTACACAGAGAAAGAGGCACCAAGAGGGCAACAAGACCGGAGCAAAACAACCTGCAAGGACACGGTATACGTAATCCTAGAACCGAGGCTGCGCAGAAACAAAGGTCAACCAGCGGACACTGTCATGAGGAGTATAAGCCTTCATCTTGAGACCCCAAAGACCACCCGAGGACACGGTATACGTAATCCTAGAGCCGAGGCTGCGCAGAAACAAAGGTCAACCAGCGGACACTGTCATGAGGAGTATAAGCCTTCATCTTGAGACCCCAAAGACCACCCAAAGACGCTAACAGACATGCGTGGAAGATATTAACATATGCTAATTAGTTCTTGGAAAAGTCATGAATATGCTAAACATTTCTCGGAAATACAAGGAATATGTATATTGTGACTGTATTTAACCTGAAATGACAGGGTGTTTGGCGCCTGTTTATAATAAGGACTCACTTATTTCTCCATTCACAAACAGCCGCAGCGTACCAGGGAGAGTCTGTAAGAACGAGCAGATAAACAAGACCAAGAGCTCAGCGACCACTGCTGGAACCTCACACAATCCCCTCCCAACAGGGTCTCACACGGACATTTCACAGACATTTGTACACAAGCAGCTCCAGCTCCACTAGCAGGCAGTCCTTTCTGTATTTCTTCTACAATGACTAACCTAGATGTACGGGTGATCGTTTTCCCCTGAAAAAGCTGAACCCTCAGATTGGAGGATAAAAACAGAATTACTGATGTTTAAAATTTGGGAAAATTCTTTTGTTTTGACAGCAAGTCCAAACAGGTTCCTCAATTATCTTTGAGCAGACAAGATGATCTTTTGCGAGTGATCTAATTCCAAACAGGAACCTTTCTACCTCTGACCTTTCCCACCATTACTGGTGGGGTTACTAACTTGGGTTCTCCTACAGGTCTCCAAGCATTTCTGTTTGCCACGCTGAAACAAACTCATCGTGTTTATTCGAGGCTGAACATTCATTAGTGTTGGCTGAATACTCAGCTCCATTGTGTACACGGGATTCAAGTGGCAAGGCACACCACAAAGCTGCCCCTAGCAACTGCGATCCACAGAGCAATGGGCTTGGGGAGGCCGCAGCAGCAGCGCAGGGAAGCAGCAGCAACAGGCAGCAGACAAGCCCAGCGTAAAACAGAGCTGGAAGTTTCAAAGTGACACAAACTATACAAAGATTATACAGGTCACTGATTGCGTCTACAAATGTAGGACCCAGCACAGAGTGTTAGCTGTGTACCAAAAAGCTGCCTGCTGCTTCTGCTGCAGAGCCCCACGGCTCCGTGCAGCACGCCAGGCACGGCCACACAGCCCAGCATGCCAGGCACTCTGAGGCAGACAAGCTGAGATCCAAGGAGTTCTGCAAGTGGACAAAGCTGAGGACAACCTGGAAGCAGGGGAACTCCACGAATCCGTACAAATGCTCATGCACTGCTGGGCACAGCTAATACAGTGTCCAGAGGTTGTGTGGTGACAGGGTGAACGTTTGCCAAACGAGCAACCTTTCCCTTTGTTTAAATGCGTCCTTTCATCTTGGTGAGGGGCCAACAACGCGCCAGGCAGCACGATGCCCACACCGCCACCAAGAGATATCACAGTTTCACATGTCAGAGCAACAAGGCAACGCACCTTCCGATTCGTCTCCTTGGGTGAAAAACATCTCCAACGTGAAGGGGTAGCAGAAGTACGCCACGTTATCCTAGAAAAGGAACAGGACAGAGATCAGACTCCCAGACAAGAGAATTCATAGCTGGCATTGCAGGGGACACGGAGAGCAGGGAGAAAAGAACTGATGGTGGGAAAGAGGCAATGATGCCCAAACAAGATCAATCACATCACACTGACAAACACCTGACTGCACAACGGACCTGTGTGCACTCCCAAGTGCCACGCTGGTGGAAGGGGCTGTTAAAAATAACAAAGAAGGGGCAAGAGTAACACACATCCAACGACAACCCAGCCACTTGTGCAACTACTGCACCGCCACGATCTTTACAGGGGTCAAGTGAAGTATCTCAAATAATGGTATTAGAGGCACTTTGTACGATCATTATTTTTGTAATATGCAAACTAGCTCATATAAAAGACATCCAAAAGTTGATAAAATTCAAATTTTGTAAGAGAGGAACTGGAAAGGAGACAGCAACGGCACCAGCTTCCCAGATGGGAGGAGGGGTTTTTCTTGAGAAATCAATTTAGAGACTGTGTGCACTCGTGCCCCAGGCAACCCAGAACAATGCTTCGTTAACGCTGAGCATTTGAGAACACAAAATTCCAAGCTCCAAAGGCAATCAACCAGTCAGAAGGAAGAAAAAAGTGAGGTTCCAGAAACGGCTTTGAAGCAGTTTTATGTGGTCCAGTTTTATTTGGACACAGTGGCACCCTGAAAAATGGCAACTATGAGTAGAATGAGGAGAATCCGGAACACACTCTGTCCCTGAAAGCAGCTCTCAAGTCGGGACCTCTGCTGAAAGCATCTGTAGCTTGTTACACGTGCTCCACTCCACAGCACACCTGTCCACACTGCTCCCCAGGTCTGAGCGCCTCCTTACCCAGCCCACTGCCTTGGTGGCACAGGTCTGCATCACTCCCGACAGCTGCTGGAACGCGGGGCTCGACCACTCTGGGAGGAGAAGAGAAGGTGAGCACAGAGGCGAATGCTTCAGGTGAGAGCGAGGACTCACAGAGCAGAGCAGGTCAAAGGAGGATGTCGGTCCCAGATGACTGGGATAACAGATAACATCACCCACGCTGAATTTCCCTAGGTGTGTCCCACCCCATCTTCTTCCAGGCAATGGCTGCTCCCCAGAACACCCTGAACTGTCAACGAAAAGCACCAACTCCATCCTAAGAGAAAAGTAGAACCTTATCTAATTGCACTGAGTAGCAAAAGTTGGACAAACATCAGGTATAACCAGAGAGGGAACCCAGAGCCTTCAGGTGAACTAAACACACAGCAGGATGTGCACATCAGTGCTGGGAATCTTATTTATCAGCCAAAATTTCAGACGTTAGTGTCAGCACAAAACACGAGAAATTGATGGTGAGCACTGAAATCAGAGAAGGTCACTGCTGAGAAGGAGCAGACAGGAAGGCTCTTCTCCGCAGCAGAAGGAATGAACTTTGGGTAGGCTGCTGGACACCACCAGCACAGGCTGAGAAGCCAGTGGACCTCTATGTCCCAGCCAGAGTTGGAAGAGATGAGAAGGGAAGATGCTACTTTCTCCCAGACATGAGTTTAGTTTAGCTCTGAGCACCTCTGACTAGATTCCAGTCCCGACATTAACTTTTACGGCCTTTCAGCAGAGCTGATCTGATGGACCAGCCAAAGCACGCTTCATTTCTCAAACTGCTGTGATACAGCTGGAAAGGTGAATACTTACGGTTAGGCAGCTCCACGAAGAAATGAATGTAGGGGTTGTCATACTCATAGCCTGCAGCTGAAACTGAGAAAAGAGAAAACTCCTCCAGTAACCCCTGTAGACTTTTGGGACAGCCAGCACCAATAACCTCAGGGACAACCAGTTACTGCTGGAAGCTGGCAAAAGCCAGGATCTTCACAATATGACCCTCAAAGACTCCTCCTCTAGACTAGCCCTGTCCCCATATTACGAACCAGACTAGGGAGGTCACACACCTAATTGCTTTCTTTGCAATAATCTCTACTAAGTTCCCAACCTGCTCTCCTCTCTTCAGACCTGCCTGTCTTCCTAGAAGAGCTGCAGTACTTGTAACCTCCAACCTGTAAACGCCACTCAAGGGGTTAGTCCGTAAAAAGAGAGGAGGAGAAGGAGGAAGGAAAGGATTCTAGGGAGAAAATCACCTTCCCTGGATCGGCCTGTGGCCCAGGAATCCTCGGACCCTTCACAGCCTCAGCCACCCCAGCGGACCCAGATTTTCCCCTATGATTTGATACCTGTAAATGTAAAATTTCCACTTACCAGAGTGATTGTAATTAAACTAAACTAGATCCTTGCTGTTTTGAGAAGACAGGAAAGCTTTAACATAAAGAGGCTCCTCAATAAAACTAACTAGACAAACTTGACTTGCTGTTTTGGGAAGGCAGGAAAGCTCTAAGATAAAGAGGCTCCTCAATAATTCTACCCCAGACAGCTCAGCCTTGGGAGGGCAGATGTACCAAGCTACACAGAGAAAGAGGCACCAAGAGGGCAACAAGACCGGAGCAAAACAACCTGCAAGGACACGGTATACGTAATCCTAGAACCGAGGCTGCGCAGAAACAAAGGTCAACCAGCGGACACTGTGATGAGGAGTATAAGCCTTCATCTT